TTTGCATTTTTTAAATATTATAATTATAATTTTATATATTATAAAAAAAAAGTTTATTTAGCAAATTGAGTCTAATATATAATCAATATTTCTATACACACTGAGATGTCTATAAATTTGATTATTCACACACCTATATACACATATACCCATTTATCCCTCATAGGTACAGGGTACATCGAACACAACCACAGAACAGTTGTTGCTCGGCACAGACGCCAGTCTGGGATCGAGTGAGCGGCGAGTCCGCATTGGGGGAACGAGTTGGGCGACTACAGAACCGAATCGTTACTTTGCATGAGTCACACCTTTCGGGGGATTTGTTGTAACGAAAGAGCGTGGAAGCGAGCAATCGGTAAAAGAGACGCAAACAAGTCAAAATGGGAGAGCGCAAGGGAAACGCCGATGGCGTGACAGTTGTGTGGGTAAGCGGCTTACACGATCGGCAGCAGTTGCAAGCTGGATGTTGGCAGTTGGAAGATGAAAGTTGAAAGTTAATGCCCACAATTCATGTCACAGGAATAGGGCAACAGGCTTTAGCTTTGACGGCTACCGAAATTAATAAAGATCTAGCTCAGACTGTCCCTAATGAAGCTGAGTTGTTGTAATCAGGCGAGCTCTCTATTAATATGAAACTGATCTACTTTGCCACCCAGAAGCAGCTCGAGTTTAAATAAATTTTATTACTTCTTTTATGGAGTAATATCTTTATGTTGTAGATAAATGATAATCATGCTACGTTTTTACTATGCTTCTCTTATCTAGAAACACAACAGCTTCAACCAATTCAGTTGTAAATGGATAAAAACTAGAAAGGCAACAAATCAGAATGTGTTAAAACTGGAATACCCGACTAGGAAATACCCAGAACTCTACTCAAAGCTGATGACATATTCCTATATCTCTATTGCTTATAGACTAACTATTGTTGAATAACTTTTGTCTGACATGCACTCTCATAATGCAATTTTAAGAGCGTAATGATGATTTGCATATTTTTAATATTGTGGAAAATGAGTAGGCATTCGAATTATAAGAAAACTGTGAGATAATCGAGGTTTTGTCGGACTCAAATTATGCTTAAATACCAAAATAGCATAGATATATTATAATCAAGTCAGTTGATGATGGCTCTGATAAGGAGATAATGTACTTAATGGGATCTACCAGGCCTTTTTGTCCATGTTAAAGATATTTTCGCAAAACTATTATACCCTGAATTCACATCCTAGGCGGATTCAGGGTATATAAACTGTCAGACCCATTAAACTCAAGCAATCAGCTACATTTTAGCACATTTCCATAAATAACAAAAGAGAAAAAACGTTCATAACCCGTTTGTAGAGTGTTTACAAGCCAATCAACCTTGTTGCAAACTATTAAGAAAGAGGACTGAGCAACAGCTGAAGCAAAGCTGTCGAATGAAGTTCAAGACAACGACAAGAACAACAACAACAATAGCAACAGCAACAGCAACAACCAGAGTTGAAACAATAACAATAAAAACCACTGGCAAGTGGACAGGCACGACGACCTACTATTTGGCCTGGCCAGTGAGCATAAAGCCAATACTTTAATGGCGCCAGACACATCCTGAGTCTGTAACTGGAACGAAAGAGTCGTCGATCGGAAAATCCAAGTTAACAGCGAAGCAAAATAAAACGCGTCATGAAAAACCTACTTCGGTGGGTTTGATGAGAGCAACAGAGAGAATGAGAGGGGCAGCAGGCAAAAATAAGTAGGACTGCGACAGCAACAACAACAATCACGAAGGCGGCCACAAAAACAGGATGCGCATGCGCAGCAGCAAAACAGAAAGCAAAAGGTGAACGTGAACATCATAATGAAGTTGAGTGGAGGTAGAATAAATACACATAAAAAAAGCGAAATCAAAGAAATCAACAAATAAACATAAAAGGAAACGTATCTCAGAGCTGACACACACAGGCATACACGCACACACACATGCAAGAAACAACGTACAAGAGCGATAAGAGCGGCGCACAAAGCAAGGGAAACGCTAAGCGAAACGACTAAGCGGCAGAGCGAATAAGGCAGCAGCGCAGCAGAGGCAACAGCAGTGGGACAGGCAGAGAGAGGGAGTGAGAGAGAGATGAAGAGCGGGGGAAATGGCAAACGATAAACGTCATCGAGCAGATTATGCTGCATAAATTATCAAATGCAAAAGACAGTGCCAAAAGGGAGCGCCGCAGATGAGCGCAGACAGATGAAACGAGCAGCGAGAGCGTAAGAAGAGCGTAAACGAGGGAGAGCGAGAGAGAAAACGGGAATGGCTGAGACGCAGGTAAACATTACGCGCTGTAAATAATTGTAATTTACGAACAGGGAACTGGCTCTGCATCAGCTCTACCTGAGGGAGCGGCAGTGCCAAAGAGCTAAAGAACCTAAAGCAGAGGCAAGCAATAGCAACAGTAGAGACAGCAGCGGCAGCGACGCAGCGCAATAGCAAACAAGAAGAGCACGTACAAGAAATTAGCAAACAGAAGAAGAGAAGTAAAAGCGAATCGTCAACCCCGACGCTCGCGTACACACAACTCCCAGGCACAAGTATTATGATTATGAAGCTAGGCGGCTGATCATAATGATGAATGGCCAGCAGCCAGAGCCAGAGCCAGACGTATACATACATACATACATAGATGAAAAACGAAAAACGATGAAAAAAAACCCTGTGGCAGCTGTAGACTTACTCACTCACACACACACAACAGACATACAGAAGTTGGCTCCATGGACATTGGGACCACGCGTAACGCGTTTCTTGTAATCGTGGCCAGAATCGTAAAACGTGATCGAGTGCCTTATGTACTATACATTGGCCATGGGCTTTAGCAGAAACTGTTGTTGTTTCAGTTGTTTTTGTTGCTGCTGTTGGCACTATTAATACTCAGTACACAGAAAATGGGATAAAACAGGGGTATATATAGATACTTTCGCAAACAGTGCAGAGAGTGTACAGATAAAGAAACGAGTGGAGATATGTACCTATGATATTATGGATCTGTGAGTATGGACAAAATCTACATATGTATATTGTATATAAAATCTATGTATACTAAAACGCAATAATGCCTTAAAAGATCTGTATTAACTGTAATAATACTTCTTGACCAACGACTTTAATATGAAATATAGTATAGCCTATATCTAGCATATAAATAAAAAATAATAAATAAAATATAAATCATAAATAAATCATTCATGTAAGCAAAGCTCAACAAAAATACGTATTTAAAATTACAATCAACCCGTTATTCTAATAACAATTATAGGGTATCCATACGCCTGTCAGGTTATCCTGCTACAGTTTCAGTTCATTTTTGATCTTGTTTGGTTTATTTCTTTTTCTTTACGTTTTTTTATTTTTTTTCTTGAACACGTATCATGTATGTAGTCTGATTATTTTTTTTGTTTTTGTTTTTTGTATTTTCTGTGCGAGCCAACAGCGTTTTCATTAGGGAAATACACATGCACAGCTACAAAAACAACAACAAAGGCAATGAGACAAGGAGGACAAGAGGGAGAGGAAGGCGAAACAACAATAGTTTATATTTTGCCTGGCTACTAACGTGAATGTTGTTTTTGTTTTTGTTTTGTTTTTGTAGCTGCGCGATTCAGTCTCAATTTCGTTTTATTCCGCCCTTGCTCCACCTTGTTCAGCTTGTTCTTGATTCCCTGTTCCACAACGTTGGCATAATTTACAGTTCTTCAGAGAAATTTACATGCGAGTTGAGGTCTGGAATCGTTTCGTTCCCTTGTCTCAACTAGAGTCGGTTGTGGGTCAATGAATCAATGAATCAGCGCATGGATGTTTCCATTTAACAGCTGTACGAATTTTTGATTATGATGGAATCGTTATGTAGTGGAGAAGAACAAATATGTATTTATAAACTACATTGTTCAAATGGTTTGGCATTAGTTTACAAGCGATCAGATTAGATAGATGATTATGTAAAGATCGTTTAACCTACTGAAGTGATCAAGTTTACTTAATTTAATTTATTCATTCCTCTATTAAGTAAATGATATTTTAAATTCAATATTAACATATTGAGATGAATATAACAATATATATATTGCTAAAAAGGTTGCGTCTCAGATATAAGAAAATCCACAAAATATGTTTCGGAAGAAGTTACAGATTTATAATATTTACTAATTAAAGTTCCCATTTGTTTGCTTATATACATACATTTGTATGTATGTATGTATGTATGACTAGCCTATGACTAGCCTAAAAGTAATTCTGCTATCACTAGGCGGCACGTTCTCTGGGTTTTTATCATACCATTCAAGGGAAGATAGAAAAACAGACATTTGTTTGGTTAACTACCCGAAAACAAATACAGACTGATAATTGTTTTCCAGAACATCTGAAAGAATTTCTATATCGGAAGTGCTTATAAAAACAGCTTTGTATCTTAAACTAAAACAAATAGAGAAGATAAAAGTATTTACTTATTGTAGAGAAAAATAAAATTGAAATCTTTTGCCTCATCTCAATTTTTGTTATTCTTATTCTCATTATTTAAGCATCGTATTTATGAGGTGTGGATTAAAAAAGCATTAAAGCTCAGGTAGCTACGAACTCCGTAGAAGGCTGTCAAGTGTCACCTGTCTCACTTCATAAACAAAAAATTAGCATAGAGCCAAAGCGAAAAACTCGTATAATCTTAGATATTATCAATTATTAACAGCACGCCCACGTAACAGGCACGCCCACCCACGCCTACAATTCGACATTCCATGCGAAGTAACAAAAAAACAACGAATCGAAAATACCAATTAGCCGAGACGGGAAATTTTTTTTTAGAATCGATCGAGCGGAATTACGCGCATAATTTAGAGGCAATAATATCGCGATTGGCAAAGCGGCCAACGCGATTGTGGAACAGGTTCCATGTTTTGTATGGGACTATCGGGACTGTTGGGGCTGTGGGGCGTGGCGTGCAGAGTTCATTAGAAATGTAGTCACTTACCGCTTTTGAGACGATCGTTAATTAAATCCTCAATCAGCTGCGGACACTCGCACTCGATGGCATAGCAGAACTGCTTGAACTTCTCGAAGCCGCTCTTGGCAATGATCTCGATGAGATTGGCGCATTGGACGCGCAAAATTTCAGCATCATTTAGAGATTCGGTAGCTGCGCTGCCGACGCCGCCACCCACAGATGGCGTTAGCGAGCGATTGTCACTTTGGGCATGATCGCCATTGACACTGGCGCTGCGCGAGGAGCCGGCCAGGCTGGAGCTGTAGTCGCCGCCTACGCCACTGACGCTGGCGCTGCCGCCGCTGCCACTGCCGCTGCTGCTGCTGGCGACAGCGCTGAGCTTGCGCTTTGTTAAGGCGCCCACGCTAGATGGTGCGCTGCCCGGTGGCTCGACAGCGGTCTTCAGCAGCAGATCCTCCTCGGACTGGCTGAGCACGGAGTTCTTGACCAGCACCGCTATTAGATCGGTGCTGCCCAGATCGAGCATGATGCGCTCCTGGTGACGCGACAGCAACAAGCGCACTTCTTCCTCCTCTTCGCGCGTCATTTTGACGTTTTATTTGATTTGATTCTTTCTATGCTTCTTCGTAATTGCTGTTGTTTTCAATGCACTTTTATTTATTGCACTTTAACACATTCACACACACTCACTCACTATTGTTGTTCTTGCTGTTGTCGTTGCTATTTAGCAAGCATATTCGTTTGATTATTATTGAAATTTATAAATTATTATGCATAGTATTTGTTGCTATTCGAAACGCAAAAAAACACAAACGCGCGCCATTTATTGGCGCTTACGCCGTTTAATTCGTTGCTCCGCTCGCACAACGTTCGTTCAACAAAGTCAGAAAGTAACTGAAAAACCGGCTCAGCTTGAAACAGCGACATAGTGTCTCACACAAACTCAAGAGAGTCAGAGAGCGAGAGCGTAAAACGCCCGCACAATACGGAGAGAGTAACGCACAGTGTAACTTTGTTTGTGCTCTAAGAAGATCTGCAAACATCGTATGTTAAAATGAACAAATTATATTTGATTAATTTGATTAAAGGCCAAAATAATTTAATTGTACCTAAAGCAAGCCTTTTGTTAGTTTTTTTCATACTTTAATATATGTAATCAATTTAAAATGTAATATCTTCAGCTGAATTTCATCATAGCGAACCACTGTTCGTCGCTGGCAATTGTGGTTGTTTCTCTTGCATTGGCCCTGCAGCTGCAATTGTAAGCGATAACGGTGTATTGTAGTATGTGTTAGCATCGTGTATGTGCGTGCGAGTGTGAAACAACAAAGTCAAACAAAACGTAATTGCATTTGCTCTGCATCTCTCACTCTCTGTCTTTTGGGAAAACAAAGAAATTGTCTTTGCGCTGTTAAGCAGCACGTCTTACGAATATCGTAACGCAATCACGTAAACAATATACGGTTTGAAATGGCGCATTTTTCAAAGAAGGAATATTAGTTAAAAGTTATGTGTACTATTTAGAGAATAATTACAAGCTTAGCTTAAAATGTAAATATTTAATATATATATATGTTAATATATCTGAAAAACTTTAACATTAACAATTAAGAACACACGCACACTCATAATCCCTTGCTCTAATTACATGCATTTTTGCAGCTTCTGACCCGATTTAATGGATTGCCAGGATCGTAACAGATGTTACTTCAGCCGGAAAGCAAACGAATAAGGATAATTGCAGGAACAGACAGATTGAACTGCGAACGAAAAATCAGAAACAGAAAAATCTTTTAAGTCAAGATATGTACATACGCTAATTGCGGAAAAGGAAAAAAATAATCACAATATACAAAAAAAAGTAGAATAAATAAATAAAAAAAAAAATAAATAAAAAAAATAATAATATAAATAAATAATAAAATACAAATCACAACATAAAATTATTGCATATAAAAATCGGTATTACAATCAAATATTAAAATAATAGATACATATATAAAAAAAAAAAAATAAATTCAATTCAAATATTAAAGAAAACTTTAAAGGTATTAAAAATGTATTTCTAAAATTACTTCTTTTCTGTACTTAGTGTAATGCAAACAATAAAAAAAAAATATTAGATAAATTAACATGAGATCGTCACGTTCAAATCCATTAGGAGATTGAGATTTAAAGTCTGGCACGTTCTCAGCATATTGAATAGGCCGATTTATCCATGTGTATTATATTTCAAAGTGTAATAGAAATCATTCGGTTTTGGCATATTGTAAAAATGAAACCAGTTAACCGATGGAAATCAACTGGCTTTCAATATTGAATTTTTCGAAATGCTTCGCATATTTTCAAACACAACAGGCGACAGCAGGTGTCGGCCACCTACAACAATCCGGCATTCCGACATTCCAATCCAATAACGAAATTCGTTTGCATAAATTGAGTTAAGTAATTGCAACTATTTGGATATATCTATGTGCAAATGTTCGAGTGCCGCCCTCTATGCTCGGGTAACTGCATAATTTATGCGAATATGCTAAGTCGTGCATAGCGTCGCCCATGCGTTGAGGCGGCAATGAATAAAGCTCCAACGCGCTCCCGCAAAGCTGTCAAACGAATCTTCAATCGATGCAGCCTGACTGAGTAATTCATGAGTGATTGATTGACGAACAACCGGAGCGGTTGATCAACTGAACTGCATGAGAATTGAGTGTTCGATCGACGGATCTGTGGCTGATTACAGCAACTGCATAGTTGAATGAATGTGGAATCGAATGATTGAACATCCCAAACAACAAGCAAAGAACGATCTGAGTGATTGACTGAATGAGTTACCTAATATATCATTGGCAAACTAATGAACTAATCGAGGGATTGCTGATTTGGAGGAGTGAATAATAGAGTGAATGATTGATTTGTTGAGTGAGTCTTTAACTGATAGTTAATCTATCTATCTAAAGGCAGGTTTGCTAGATCTGAAATATAAAATCTAATATACAATAAGATCTCCCCAGATAGGTTATTTGCCAAAGCTTAGGCTGTTTTCTCGCTGCCTTTCATTTCCAAGAAAAATAATCTACTTCAAACCTAGCAAAATATTGCTGAGCAATCAGAAAGTTTGTCTCCGCATTTCCCTGATTTACACTCCAAACGAATTTACTGAATAAATTTCCCCCCACACCACACAGCTTCAAGGGGGATTACATTTGCAAATACAAATCGAAATCGAATCGCAAACATGCGAAAATGTGTTAGCAAATGGTCCAGCACATGTTTCTTGCCCATTTCGTTACTGCTTGGCACGTCGCTGCAGCTTCCTTTGCAATTAAGAGATTTGGTACATGGGCTTAAAGCACAGTCCAGCTCTTCCGCCCTCCCTTTCTCACATTTCCTCACTCTTTCTCTGCCCGCTGTCTGCTGTATTTCCTTTCTTTCCTGATTCGTGAGCCACTGTCCGAGAGGGTGTCTGGACCATCCATCAAAGCTGTCTGATTATCCTCCACAGCCAGCCAGGTGAAATTATTCGATAATCATCTGGGGAGTTGTAAAGAGCGAGGGGGACATGGAAAGAGGGGTATCGTATTATACGGTAGTCAATTTCAAGATTGGCGTTGCACGTGGTATTTTTATTATAGCATAATTGCTTAATATTTTTAAGCGTTGTCTGACGGAAGAGCTGGAAAAACCAGCTGCCAAACATCGTAAAAATTTCATAAGCAGCTGATTCCAAATATTTTATAGGCTTAAAGGTGGCAATTGCTTTCAATTATAGGCGACTTATCGCATTAATAATAAAACATTAAAGATATACAAAAATTATCTAGCATACATACATATATATTCATAAAATTTGCCTATCTGGCTAAATATAAAAATGATCGACTGAAATTGTTGTTTTCCTTTTACCGCTTTTTTATGGCTTAATTGTCAGGTAATTTTATTTTACGACCGAAGTGTTGAAAACATTTTAAAGAATACGTGCTACGTGCCTCAAATGCTTTACAAGCAAACAATTTAACTTCCAAGAACTTTTGCTAAGTTAAAAAAAAGAACTAAGCTAATAAATAGAACTAAAAAAAAGTCTGCTAATATTTTTATATAAAACTATATTGCTTTTAACATTAAAAATTGTATCTACATTTTAATATAGTACTTAAATAATGCTTTTATATAAAAAGCCTAAGCATGAATACTTATTTATTATACCCGTATAATTATTGAAACACCCTAATGCTTATAGTATACAAGCCACAGTTAAAGCTCACATTCTGTTATGCAGTTATTGATTCGTATAAAAACATGCAAAGGTCTCCAAACATACGTACACTGAAAAGCCAATGAAGAGAATCTTAGAATATTAATACTCCTGGATTAACCGTATACCAAATTAATACGTTAATAGAAAGCAATAAATTATAAACTTTATCTAAAATATCTATTTATATATATATATATATATATATATATATATATATATATATATATATATA